ACCCCACCCCACGCCCGCCCAGGATCCCGAAGCCGGAACCTCAGGCCCTTGGACATTCTGGATTCCCACCCCCACACTCCCGCCTGCCTCCGAGCGGGAAACCGAGGCAGGAGGGCCACCAGGCACTTGAGGACGCTCGGGCTTGTCTGCACCATGGCTCCTGCCCTCCCTCGTCTTGCCAGTCCCCGCGGTGGTCGCGGCGAGGAGTCAGGCGAGGGCGTCCGGGGCTTCCACAGCAGGTACTGCCAAACCCCCGCCGCCCCTCCTTCTGCCCCGTCCGAGCTGGCCCCGAGCCGCAGACCTTCTCCAAGGTGCCCGCAGGCGTCTCCCGGGCGGTCTTGGTGCAGAGCGAAGGCGCTCCGGAGGCGCAGCCTGGCTGCGGCCCAGCCCGGCGGCACCCTTTGTGCCTTGACCTTGGGCAAGTCCCCGGGCTTTGGGGCGTCTGAGCCAGAGACCCCGGGGCCCAGCCCCTTCTGGTTGATGCGGAAATACTCTGGCTCTGCTGGGGAGTGCACAGTCTCAGAGTCCCCAGACCCCAGGCTTGTGCCCTCTCTGCAGGGGACAGGTTCATCTCCCCACCCCACCCCCAAAGGCAGTCCTCAGAGACTTTTGGCAAAGACTGGAGGAAATGCTAACAAACAATAAGCACATGTGAGATTTAAAAAAAAAAAAAGACACTAAAAATCAGAATCACGCAAGTTAAAATAACGACTATGCCTTCCACTAGCCCCAGCACACCCAGACTGGCAAAAAAAGAAGATTGATACCAGCCAGCGTTGGCTGTGGGTTGGAATGTGGGGAGACAGGCATGCACACGCTGCCTGCAACTGTGAATTGCTACATCTTTTTAGGAAAGTAATTTGGCAGTATCTATTAAAATTTAAAATGTTCATGCTCCATGACCCAGCAGTCACACTTCTAGGAGTTCAGCCTATAGACAGTCTCATTTCTCTTTGCAGATAGACCAAGAGATGTGTAGTAGGAGAAACAAACACAAACAAACCCGGATATAACTCGATGCCCATCACTTGGGGACTGGCCAGGGGTAGGGAAGGCATCTCCCCAGTGTGGAATATTATACAGCTATTAAAAAGCATGAATTGGAGCTTGTGTGGTTGATGTCCCTCATACATTGCTTTGTGAATGAAGCAAGGAAGGGGGAAGACCCTTATCTATGTGTATATTTAACAAAATCCCTCCAGGACTGCACAGTGTGCTCTGTGGGCAGCAAGGTGAACACTGCTGCTGCTGCGGGAAGACTGGCTGTGAGCAAGCAGCTAAGTGAACAAAATATCATCCAGAGATGGGAGGAGATGGGTCCTGCAGAGGCTGGGGCAGAGCGGGCATTCCAGCGTATCTGGTGCCTCTGAGGAATGGGCACTGGAGCAAAGGGCGAGCAGGTCCCTTTGCCTCTGCCTCTGTGCTCTGTCCCCCAGCGTTACTGCAGAGAGACTCCTGCCTCTTCTCTTGCTCATCTTGGCGTGTTTTGACCTGCTCACAGTCAGCATTCTTTAGACCCATGAAACAAGCCAAGGTAAAAAGGCAAATGAGTCTGGACTGGCCAGACAGCAGGTGTCCCTTAAGCCTGAAATTCCTGTGTTCTGTGCCCCCTGCAGCCCCTTCCCCTAATTTTAGAAATATCTGCCGCTGCCTTTCCCAATTCTCCACCCCAAAGGCCTAATGGGCTCAAGTTTCTGTTTCTAGAAACAGAGCTGCTGCTCCTGGAGGCCTATTTGGCTTTCAGACCCCAGCGGGTGGAGGGGTGGTACTCAGGGCTTCCTCTTTGTCTGTAGCCTCTGCAGCTTCCCAGAAGGCCCCCCTACCCTACCCTCAGGCCACCAAGGGCCTGACCAACTTGGGAGAATGGGGGAAGGAAAGGACCCCTGCTCCCCTTTCTCTCCACAAGCAAGGTCCACACTGGAGAGGTGAAGTCCAGAGGCTTGGGGTCTTGCGCAGGGCCATGCCCTAGGGATGCTCCTGCCTGGGGCTCCAGCAATCCTCAGCCTTTGGAGATGAATGTTTTGTCCTAGTTTTGCAGATAAGCAAAGGGAAGATCAGAAGGTGCGTGATGGGGGACCAGGTCGGAGGTCTGGCAGTCCCTCAGCGGTCCTGGAGTGACTGGCCCTGTGCTAACCTGAACTGGGGCCCACCCTGAGGACCCCCGGCTGGCCAAGCCTCGGCTGGACTCACTCTGATAGTGCACATGGTCAGCAGCTGTGATGGGGGAAGTGGGGAGAGGGCCTTTGAGGCCTTTAGAGCCAAAAGTCAGGGCGAGGCCCCCCACCAGGCAGGGGCTGCTTGGGAGCCTGGGTGGTCCCAAGCAAGGGAGCAGGAAGGGGGCCAGGAGGGTACCGGCCTCCACCTCAGCAGGA